GGGGGAGCCCAGAGACGCCAAGGCGCCTGTGCGGGCACCAGCAGGCGCATGCGCATGCGCAGCGCAGCCCAGCGCCGGGGCGGGCTGAGGGTCTGGCGTGCCCCGCGCTTGGCCCCTCCGCACTTGTGGCCGCTGTCAGTCCGGGTCGCCGTCCCCGCATCCCAGGGACAGTGGTAGTGAGGGGCCCTGCTGCAATAGGGTGGTTGTTTTCTGGTGACGGGCACTTTGCCCAGCTTGTCGTTGTCCACGTTTAGGGCGTAGTAACGGGTGGCAAAAGTTACTCGTTTTGGAAATGCCGGATGTGCCCTGTTACGATACCTTCTCTCTGAGCTCGGGTTCCCAGAGACACTGAAAGTTTTCCACAGTAACATAAAACCGGTGTCCCCCTCAAGCTGTCTCCCGAGTGAGGCCTTACCAAAGGTGAATCCACCTCCAGGTTTCGGGACCTGGCTGCCAGGTGCACCAGGCGCTCGTTTATCATCTCCCTCGCATGCCTTCTGCTACCGGGATGGGTAATGTGATCATGGCCCGTATCAGAACATCTCCAGGCGTGTAACGGCAACAAAGACAGGCCTGCTGCGGCAAGTGGGTTGTTCGTGACTGACAGGAACAGTCTTTGTTCACTATCTCTGAATGCATTTTGAAAATTATCTAAAAACTGGTATGGGAGAGTGGTTATTATCTCTTTGTGAACAATAGAAAAATGCAATAAATAACAGCTACATCTGACAAAGTTCATTCCTTGGTTCCTTCATAACATACTTCAAATATATCTGAACACTCTCTGAATAAATTAATCTTGTATATATATTTACATGTAAATATATATATTACTTAAAGTTCCTTTTACCAGTTGCTTACTAACATCGTAACTTTTGCTTCCTCATGTTTGTTAGGGAACAACCTTGTGGACATTTTAAATTTAGTTTGTCTTTCTGAATATCGTTACAAGCCACTTATGCCCTTTCTTCTGGAAAAACATCCTTTTCCCGTTCCTCTTTTGATTCTGACAGGCATTATAATATTAGTAGTAAAAAGATCTCTCTGTGTAACCCTACCTGGTTTACATAACATGTCATGATCTCTACTAGCTTCTGCTTTATCTCTAATTATTATACATCTAGTCCTTTTGCAGCCAAGTTCAATACCTCAGAAGTAATGAAAATCTTGTTAGTGTTATACTTTTCTTTGTATAGTCTTCCTTAAAAGCCAAAAGAATGTGTGTGTATGCTATTTTCAGATCATTCACAGTTAGCTCATTCTCTGTTATTTTCTTCTGAACCTTTCTTTTTATTGAGATAATACAAGCAAAGTTTCACAGAAAAAATGTGTAGATCTGTTTCCTGGTAAAGCCAGTTTGAATCTCCTTTTACTGTTATCATCTCATCATTCTTTAAACAATTTTTAAATCCACCCAGTTAAACCCACTTAGCCTTCCTTCTTGGCTTTTTCTTTAACCATTTTCATATGCACATTATTTCTCCTTTGTCTATTTTCTGGGTCATCAAACTGAAGAGTTAATTTTTAATTCATTTTCATTTGCTATAACTACTTCGGCAGCTATAGCATATATTTCTTTTGTTATGTCTCAGCTGTTACAACTTTCTCACTTAAATCCCTTTTCTCATGTGCTTTTTATTGAATGAACTTTCTCAGCACCTATTTTAAATGCAGCTACTTAATTAAATCTCCTTGTTTGCAGTAACACTTCTTTAGGATGAAAATATAATCAAAACTTATAAACTGTCTTGGTCTAGGCAAGCCAGTAT